CCTCCTCCCCTGGCTCGGAGGGGCAGGAGGTGGATGTATGGGTGTCCTGACAGCCCAAGTGGCCGCAGAGGTGCCCCTCGCGAGGAGGGGGGAGGATGGACTCCGGGCTAGAAGGCGAAAGGGGGAAGCCGGCAGAGGAGAGAGCGGCCGGTGGTGGTGGTGTGGACTCCCAAGGCTTCCACGGGATCCCTTGGCCGGGGTGAGAGGCCCCCCCTTAGCTCGCCGCTGCTCTGCTCTCCTCCGGGTGGATCCTCCCACCTCCTCCTGGACGTGCAAGGGTCGCTTTGCCATGATCGCAAAGAAATTTGTCCCCATAGGGGCCATCGCTAACCGATTGCTCTGGCAATGGCCAAAACCCCATCGTTAAGCAATTTCATCATTAAACAGAGTGATCGGTAAGCGAGGCACCACTGTATATGAATCACTTTTCTCCCTCTACAGGATGCCTCTTTACTTTTTACACTGCAACCTCTTTGGGCCATGGATAGCTTCTTTTTCTACTCAAATTATCCTAAAATGCATTTAGCTCAACAGGATATACTATGGAACTAAGGCACATAAAGTCAAAAACAACCAAAATCTTAACTGGTGTTTACGTGACATTTACATAACCTGCCAACAGCTACAGTACTTGCAGCTGACTGACAAGATACTGGGACATGTCGTCATCATCATCTTAGAACTGCAGAGCTGGAAGGGATCTTATGGATCATCAAGTCTAGTCTTTGTCAAGGAGGCACAGAGGAGAACTGAAGTCCCAACCTCTGGTTCTGCAATCAGATGCATAAACCACTGAGTTATCCAGCATTGTTCTATCTGGTCTATCTACCTAGTTTAGTGCAGTAATTGGTAAATGCAAAGTACAGTGAAAAAAATGTCTGTGAAACAAACTATTCAACTAATTTTATAACTGAAAAGAATACTCACCACTGAAACACATTACACTTTTCAAGTATTTTCACTCCATGTGGATGACAGGAGAGCGTACCAAAAAACAAGAAGTAGTGCTGACTAAGAGTGTTAAGTAACCCATTGTTCTGGAGACTGCGTTCTGGTTTCATTCCAGATGAAGAGTTAAGCCACTGTACAATATCTTTTACTAATTCTTCCAGGTAGCAATGTCCATCCTGCTTAAAATGAACAAACACTTTTGTCAGTTTCTTTCAAAGGATGATTTTTTTCTTCACTGAAAAATGTATACATCTACATGTGTTTTGGTACAAAGCAAACAACTTTCAAACAGAATACCACAAAGTAAATTAACGTTTATTGTGAGTACTCTGGGAAAATATGTGAATTTTTTAAAAAAGGGGGGAAGGTAGCTGAGCTTCTTAAAGAAACTTGCAACCTTGTAGGGAAAATCAGCCACAAAACTGTCCTAAGATGATTTTGACATAAACTGAAAGTAATTCCTGTGGGTTTTATGGAAATTATAACAGTAAACAATCTTCAGGCTGTCCATGTTTTCTCTAAGTCGGCGGTGGCAGATGAAGAAGCAGTGCAAGAACAAGTTTCTACAAAAGCAAACTTACACTCTCTCATACCTTCCTCTCTAATCAGGTTCTGAGTTTTCCCAAACAAAACAAAAGCAAGGAAGGGAGGGTTAGAATGAGCAGTTTTGATTCATCACCCTTTGAGTGTCACAGAGTGTTAAAGATACAGTACAAGGTTTAGAACGTAGAAAGTTTAGATAATTGTTAAGTCTACCTTTTGTTGCACCTGCCTTCCTTCCTTCTTTCCTTCCTGTCTTCCTTCCTGAGGGGCAAAAGTGCATGTTGATTGACCTGCATATCACCTCACCCAATACCTCGAAGCAAGTCAAGCCTGTGCATTACTTTTGCAGGCAAGACTCTATAAATATGAAACCCAGCCTTCTCATGGAGTAATCACTATCTGTAATTAACTAACCATGCTTTCTGAAATTCATGCTAATTTGTTTGCCAGGAGTGAAAAGAGGGGCTTTAATTCCAGACTCCACTGACAGAGAACCCACTTGTGTATTATTCTGGTGAGGGCAAATCTTAAGCATTACTACCAACATTTTTTGTATTTATCTGTGAACAAATTTTATCCTTCTGTTAAAGCAATCCATTGTATTCTGAACCACTGTGCTTCACGGGTTGAAATCCTGCTGTTTAGAACAGTGGTTCTTAACCTTGGGTTGCTCAGGTGTTTTTGAACTGCAACTCCCAGAAAACCCAGCCAGCACAGCTGATGGTGAAGGCTTCTGGGAGTTGCAGTCCAAAAACACCTGAGTAACCCAAGGTTAAGAACCACTGGTTTAGAACAGTTAAGTCACACTACAGTAGGTCCACTGAATCTTTAAGTAAATCACAACTAGAGTAGATTCATTTGAATCAGTGGAATTTACACAGGAGTTGATTCACCAAGTCAGTGATCTATTCGAGTGTGATTTACTATGTTAAGCAAAAGGATTTCAACCACTGTATTCTGAAGGATAGGAGTTTTATGCCATATTAGCCTCCTTAGCCAATGTACTGCACAAACATGTATTCACCCATGGTGGTGGGTGTGTAGAGACTGGGAGTAGGCAGTGAATTCTCTGTCCTGGAAAACTGAAACCAACCTACTGCTCTTTAACTCACTAGGTGCTGGTAACTAGCAATTCAATGGCTAATCAGGGTATAGTTTTCCCAGTGGAAAAACTGGGGCAAGAGGACAACCATTTAATCTGATTTACTGAGTAATCCTCTAGAATGAATTGTTAAGATGACAGTTAACGATTCTCTGAAGAATTCAATGGTGTTGTCCCTTTCATTTTTATTAAAATATTTTAATACTGTAGGGTTAGTTTCCCCCAAAGTGATCCTTTTTCAGCTCTGATCTCCATCATTCCCAGCCAGCATGAGTGAAATGATTGAGGATAATAGCGCTTGCAGTCCAATGCCTCAGAAGGGATTGAAGAATATTTTTTCATGGCAATGTATTTGCGAAAGCTTTCACAGCCGGGATCTAATGGGTGTTGTGGGTTTTTCGGGCTCTTTGGCCATGTTCTGAAGGTTGTTCTTCCTAACATTTCACCAGTCTCTGTGGCTGGCATCTTCAGAGGACAGCACTCTCACCAGAGCACAGAGTGCTGTCCTCTGAAGATGCCAGCCACAGAGACTGGCGAAATGTTAGGAAGAACCTTCAGAACACAGCCAAAGAGCCCGAAAAACCCACAACAACCATTTTCTCAGGGCTTTTACCAATGCATTTTATTTCACATTTTCTATTTATTATATTCATTGGACAAATAATACATTTTATAAGCTTAACTCTTAGGCCAGCAACTTTTCTGGCTTGAACTTTACATTTTGTAGTTAAATATTCCTACTGTACTTTCTTTCCTCAGACCAGCCAAACAAGGTCTAATGAAAAAAAAATTGCTTTAAAAAATATTCAAGAACCTTCTCCAAAGTAATTCTGAGTATAGGAATTTGCCTTTTCTTAGTTAGAGCTAAATTAAATGAATCTTACCTCTTCAGATTCAAGCAGAAACTCAGTAAACTGGCAACCCACAACAGTGAGCTGTTTGGCTTTTGCATAATCCAGATCCAGGTTGGCATACAATTTGCTGCTAGGTTTATAAAAATACATCAGTCGTCGTACAAACCTAGTATTGAAACAGAAGAATGAGATAACAGAACAGTTATTATTAGTGTCCGAAAAAACATACTGTATGTTTACAGTGTCACATTAACAAGATAACAATGCAGTTGTAGCTTTTCAAAATTTAAAGTACATCACAAAATGCTAAGTATTAGAGCCACGTTGACATGGGATTCTCCTACCATAGCAGCCTAATAATTCCCTTAAACCTAAAACGTAAAAATTAGAAAGTGCACCTGGTCTCTGGAACATCTTGATTTAGGAGTTTGGTTTGACTCCCTTGTCATTATTTCTTACTTTAATTTCAGCAGATACATAACTTGTAAGGTTGAGGATTTTCATTAAGTTATTTTTGTTGTTTTCACTTGTATATGTATTTATTCTATATTGTTGTTTGCTTATGTGTTCATTTATTGTTACTCTGAGTAATGCAAAATTTCCTACTGAATAATAAATATATTTATTTATAGATTTTTCCTATTAATTTCCTAATGAATAATAAAAATACTAATGAATACTTTCCTAATGAATAATAAAAAATACATTTTAAATACTGTTTCCTTCCCCCAACAGGCCACACTAATCAAAACTAACATTAAGGAAAAGCTAGAAATGCAGCCTTATCAGAAAATAATATACACTTTTTAAAGCAAATGGAAATGACTATAAGAAGACTACAAGAACAATGTTAAAAGAAATAAACTATTTTAGTTGTAAGACCACAAAAATACAGACATGCACATATCCACTTGAATTTCAGAATGTAACCAATAAACTTACATAAAACTATTCTTTCGTCTGTGTTTCCCAGTGTGAACACAAGGTGTTTGCTAAACTTAACCTTGTTGACTTCAGACATGATAAATTATTCTAAGTTTGGCTAAGAACCACTCATTCAAATGCACATACCCACTTACTGCAGCATGAGAATCACTACTGTAATACATGACAATATATGGCTTCAAACAATAGTCTTTCCGCATCCAAGCCATATAATTTAATTGTTCCTTTGGAGGATACAATTTTCAGCAACTGCCCCCTTCATCAATAGCCATCACTTCATACCTCATGCTAGAGATGGGCATGGACTGCAGTTTGGCAGTTCGGCCCAGTTCAGAGCGGTCTCTGCACAGGTGTTCCATGGGCACTGCACACTCCCCTCTCCCATCTCCTCTACATGCCATTTGCAGCTTTCCTCCTACACCTCCTCAGGCAGCTGCCCACTCAGATGATGAGGAGGGGCAGGGAAGCGTACAGCGCTGCCTTTGAGTGGGCGGCTGCCTGAGTAGGTGGAGGATGAGGGAAGTGCACACTGCAATTGGTGAGTGGGCAATCATCCTATGGAGGTGAGTTAGGGGAGTGTGCTTTGCCTGAGGAATAAGTAAGTGTGCAGAGGATACGGAAGAGGGAAGTGTGTGGTGCCCGCAGAACACCTTGTGTGGGTGCTGTGCTGAACTGGGATGAACTGCTGGATGTGGTTCATACCCATCTGTATCTCACATCATTCCTAAGAAACCCCTGGCCTGTAGGAACAGATTGCGGATGGGAGGAAATAGCAGGCTGCAGAGGGATGGCAAGAAAGCTCTTTCTATGAACTCTATTCTGTTCATAGAAGAAAAGGCAGGATCCAAGGCTGTTAACTTCTTTTTTAAAAGGAGACTACAGACGTATGGAACAACTGTTGATGGTCATATTGGTAGTAAAGAAGTATTTGGAACGCTTGATTCTAAATCACTGAGACAACTAAACAAAAAATTATTTAGAACCCACAAGAGCTTCCATCTGCAATCATTTCACAGGAAAGGACATAGCTATTTGTTCTGAATGAGGCAATTACAAAAGCAGCTGTAAGAGTGTGTGAAAAAACACTGAATAATTGCATGTGTATTGTGAAGATGTTGGAGCACACGATGGGTAATAACTAGTTTTAGCATTTCTTTATAGAAAAATGATGGAATGAATTGTTGGATTAAAAAATACAGTAGGACCACCGTATCCACAGGGGATTGGTTCCAAGCCCCCCCCTCCCATGGATGCTGAAAAACACAGATTATAGCAAACATCTCCCTCCCCAAACCAGACACCCTTCCCATCCTCACCAACTATCCAGAGGATATAGGGACAAAGCCCCCTCTTTGCAGCTCAGAATACACTGGCAGGAATTCTGCTGCATCAGTTACAACTGCCATGATGTAACTACAAGTAGCTGTTTCACGAAAATTAAAACCTTCCTATTCCCCCCCCCCGCTCCCTAGGGATCCCCTTTGTCCTGGGGAAATGTTTAGGAACTGTGGAACAGGAGGGGAGGATTCTAATGCCCCCCAGAATCATCGAAGCTACCAACATGAATTTGACCCAACTCCGGGAGGCAGTGGAAGATAGGAGGGCCTGGCATGCTTTGGTCCATGGGGTCATGAAGAGTCGGACACCACTTAACGACTAAACAACAACAACAAAGGCACTTTTGCAATGAGTAAAGGAGCAGACATGGCTAACATCAACACACATCTCAATGTTAAGGATGTCAAAATTGACAATTCTGAAGTTGGAGTCTTCCAGCTTGATATGAATTGGTAAACTGAGGAAGATTACTTATCCTATCATTCAGCAAGAAGATGACTTATTTCCTCTCACTGTTGTTGTTCAGTCGTGTCTGACTCTTCGTGACCCCATGGACCAGAGCATGCCAGCCCCTCCTGTCTTCCACTGCCTCCTGGAGTTGGGTCAAATTCATGCTGGTCGCTTTGATAACATTGTCCAACCATCTCATCCTCTCTTGTCCCCTTCTCCTCCTGCCTTCACACTTTCCCAACATCAGCGTCTTTTCCAGGGAGTCTTCACTTCTCATGAAATGGCCAAAGTATTGGAGGCTCAGCTTCCGGATCTGTCCTTCCAGTGAGCACTCAGGGTTGATTTCCTTTAGAATTGATGGTCCAGCTCTCACTTCCGTACATCACTACAGGGAAAACCATAGCTTTGACTATTCGGACTTTTGTTGGCAAGGTGGTGTCTCTGCTTTTAAAGATGCTATCGAGGTTTGTCATCGCTTTCCTCCCAAGAAGCAGGTGTCTTTTAATTTCGGGGCTGCTGTCACCATCTGCAGTGATCATGGAGCCCAAGAAAGCGAAATCTGTCACTGCCTTCATATCTTCCCCTTCTACCGTATTTGCTGGCATATAAGACGACTTTTGGCCCAAAAAACATGTTTCCAAATTGGGGGGGGTTCATCTTATACGCCGGGTGCACTTCATTTGGGCCAGGAAGGAGCCGGCACCATTGAGTGAGTGACGTGGGGCCACGCCAGTCGGGGAGAAAGGCAGGTGGGCAGGCGGTCAGTCTGGACAGAGGGAGGGAAGCAGAGCCGGCCGTGCCTGAACGGCCAGGGCCCACTGCCGGACAGCCGCTCCTCCTCCTCCTCCTCCACCCGCCCGCTTCCCCTTCTCCTTGCCCTCCTCGCCACTGAGCCAGCTGTCCCTCGCCCGCCCCCGCCGGATAGCCGCTTCCCCTCCTCCTCCTCCACTGCCGCTGCCCGCCTGCTTCCCCTCCTCCTCGGGCCTTGTTGCCAGCCATGAACTTCCAGGGTGGGCCCGGGCAGAGTCCCGGGCAGCCGCCCCCGGCACCACAGCAGAGCCATCTACTCTATATTCTGAGTGAAAATGTTGGGGGGTCGTCTTATATGCCCAGTCATCTTATACTCCGGCAAATACGGTATTTGCCAGGAGGTGATGGGACCAGTGGCCATGATCTTAGTTTTTTTGATGTCGAACTTCAGACAGTTTTTTCCACTCTCCTCTTTCACCCTCATAACAAGGTTCCTTAATTCCTCCTCACTTTCTGCCATCAGAGTGGTATCATCTGCACAATCGGAAGTTGTTGATATTTCTTCCAGCAATCTTAATTCCGGCTTGGGACTCCTCCAGTCCGGCCAATGAAGCAGAAGTAGATGTTTTTCTGGAACTCTCTGGCTTTCTCCATAATCCAGCGCATATTAGCAATTTGGTCCCTAATTCCTCTGCCCCTTCGAAATCCAGCTTGTACTTCTGGGAGTTTACTGCTGAAGCCTACCTTGTAGGATTTGGAGCCTAACCTTGCTAGCATGGGAAATGAGTCCAATTGTACGGTAGTTAGAGCATTCTTTGGCACTGCCCTTCTTTGGGATTGGGATGCAGACTGATCTTTTCCAGTCCTCTGGCCACTGTTGAGTTTTCCAAACTTGCTGGCATATTGAATGTAGCACTTTCACAGCGTCATCTTTTAAGATTTTAAATAGTTCCACTGGGATGCCATCACCTCCACTGGCCTTGTTGTTAGCCAGGCTTTCTAAGGCCCACTTGACTTCACTCTCCAGGATGTCTGGCTCTAAGTCAGCAACCACACTATCTGGGTTGTCCAGGATATCCAAATCTTTCTTGTATAAAAAAGTTATAGTTCCTCCGTGTATTCTTGCCACCTCTTCTTGATGTTTTCTGCTTCTGTGAGGTCCCTACCATTTTTGTCCTTTATCATGTTCATCTTTGCACAAAATGTTGCTTTAATATCTCCAATTTTCCTGAACAGATCTCAGGTTTTTCCTTTTCTATTATTTTCCTCTACATCTTTGCACTGTTCGTTTAAGAAGGCCCTCTTGTCTCTCCTTGCTATTCTTTAGAAGTCTGCATTCAATTTTCTGTAACTTTCCTTATCTCCCTTGCATTTTGCTTCATTCTATCATTTTTGAGATTATATCCCATTACAGCTTTTCCCACTCTTTTGTTGACTATGAGGGCTACTCCATTCCTTCTACGGGATTCTTGCCCACAATAGTAGATATGATACTCATCTGAATTGAATTCGCCCATTCCTGTCCGTTTTAGTTCACTGACGCCCAGGATGTCAATGTTTATACTTGCCATCTCCTGTTTGACCACATCCAGCTTACCAAGGTTCATAGATCTTACATTCCAGGTTCCTATGCAGTATTTTTCTTTGCAGCATTGGACTTTCCTTTCATTTTCAGGTATGTCCATGGCTCAGTGTCCTTTCGGCTTTGGCCCAACCACTTCATTAGCTCTGGAGCTACCTGTACTTGTCCTCTGCTCTTCCTCAGTAGAATGTTGGACGCTTTCCGACCTGAGGGTCCCATCTTCCAGCGTCAAATCTTTTAGCCTTTTGTTTCTGGTCATGGGACTTTCTTGGCAAAGACATTGAGTGGCCAGCTCCAGGTGGATTGCATTTAGTCGGAACTCTCCACTATGACCTGTCTGTCTTGGGTGGCCCTGCATGGCATAGCCCATAGCTTCACTGAGTTACTCAAGCCCCTTCGCCACAACAAGGCAGCAATCCATGAAGGTAATTTCCTCTCATTAACTTTGAGAAAAAGAATCATATAAATAGCTGATGACACATTACAAAAGTTTATTCAAAGCTGATTGCTCAGCAGCCTTCAACAGCTGTTCCCAGAGAAACAGCTTGAGATGGGATTTACGAAATATGAGCACTAGGCTTGGTACACCCATGGCAAATTGAGCAAATTGGGCCAGATGGATCTCAACCTAACAACCAATACACTAGGGCTGAAATACTCCTGGCAGAGCTATGAGACGGAAGGATGATCATACCATCAGATATAGCAGCTTTTTATTAATAAAACTTTTCCAATTCCCACTCGTCCACCCCCTGCCAAAGATAATGAGACTCCCAAGGAATTCCTTTCATCACAGGGAAGCCTGAGGGAGTTCATGGAACAAGAGTTTTTAATTTCTGAAAAACACAATCACAGGTAATCACCACAGGAGCAGTGCTTTTCTGAAGTTAAATACTTCCCCTTTGTCCTGTGGCCCTCAATGGCTTCCCCAATGTGAAAGGGATTCTGTGGGAACCTCTGTTCCGGGGGTAAAGGTAAAAGTTCCCCTTGACATTTTTAGTCCAGTTGTGTCCAAGTCTAGGGGGCAGTGCTCATCCCGTTTTCAAGCCACAGAGCCAGCGCTTGTCCAAAGACAGTTTCTGTTGTTACGTGGCCAGCGTGACTACGGAACGCTGTTTTACCTTCCCACCAAGGTGGTACCTATTTATCTACTCGCATTTGCATGCTTTCGAACTGGTAGGTTGGCAAGGAGCTGGGACAGCTCACTCCGTCGCGTGGATTCGATCTTATGACTGCTGGTCTCCTGACCCTGTAGCACAGGCTTCTGCGGTTTAGCCCACAGCGCCACCACGTCCCTGTATTCCGGGGGTAGGGGGATCAGAAATTGTATTCCAAAAACCACTGTGGCTGATGACATAATCAGCCTTATGCAGCAGAGCTCTGTAAACAAGATCCCACCCACTGAATGCCAGTCTGAGTTTACCAATCTCTTCTCTGCAGTCAGTACTGAATATAGCTGTACTATGTACTCATAAACTTTGGAGCAAACCTCAATGGTTCAATAAAAGAAACATGACAAAGAGGAACAACTATGTGTGATTCTTTACAACATTAAGAAAAAATGACTGAGCAAAGGACAGCAAAAGTGTGAAGCAAACAGAGCATTCTGAAGTTACTGTTCTTATGGTGGATCAAAAGAAACTGAGAGTGTTTGCTGAGGAATGTTTAGGCATTAACAGTAGAGGCGTGGAGACAGAGTTTCCATCAAAAGCTAGAAAGCTCTAGAGTGGTTCTGCATAGGTCAAGAACCATGTTGTATGAGTCACAAAGAACAGGAAGCAGTACTTTCCATCACGAGAAAGTATAAGGGCAAATTATACACTGATTGTGGCCACAGACCAAGTTGTTGTATACAGACATAGTATTTGGCGTTCCGCCAAGTATCGAGGCCCTAAACCGTTATTAATAAACATAGTATACTTCTGTATTCAACATCAGCAAGATCTGGCCTCTTGATGTATCCTTCAAAGAAAATGAGAACTCATTCAAAGATTCCAGGCTCGGTAGAGTGAGGTTCAGTGTACACAAAGAACTGCAGAAAGAGAGGAGAATGGCTGATTCTGGAAACAGCAGCAGGATCCAGGAGAACTGCACCACTGGATCCTAATCACGCTCAGTCAAACCTTACATGGTTACAGACCAAAGATTGCTCTAGTCCAGAATTTTCACTGAGAAGCACTTCACAAATCTCCTGCTTGGAGGACATTACAGTGGTGCCTCAGATTAACCCTCGCTATGTGAAAACATTGCTGTATGGAACGGGGAAGCCCATGGGCAAAAAACTCACCATTCAGCGATGTTTCCAGGGTCCGGCAGCCATTTTCACGCCCTCGGTAAGCGAGGGCAGGGCGCGAAAACGCTGTGTGCGGCCATTTTGGGGCTTCCGGCGGCCATTTTGGAACTGCCGATCAGCTGTTCCCCCGACATCGCAATGTGAAGATCGGTAAGCGAAACGCTTACCGATCTTCACAATGCGAGTTTTGCCCATAGGGGCCATCGGTATGCGATCGCAAATACCTCATCGGTATGCGATTTCGTAGTTCTGCGGTGCGCTTGTTAAGCGAGGCACCACTGTATAGCTCGCATTCTATGTTCAGAATCCAGCTGTCAGTTCATGCTCTCTAACCAACCAACCACTCACATTACAGGTTCATTTGCTTCATTGTCCAATATAGTCACTACAAAACACCAGTTGATCTACCATTTGGGAGCTGTTTTTCATTGGAAGCTGTTTTTATTGTTCTTTCCCTCCAATTTGTATCTTTTCTAAATGCCAGATGATACTTATGTGTTTCTTTTGAATCTAAAACACATTTGCTAAGAAATCCTTTGGAAAGCAGAAATAAAAAAATACATTTACTGCATACATTCCACAAAATGATACCCAATATCACTTGTATAAATGTTTTCAGGGAACAAGTTTCAAGATGACTAGGGAAAAGGTTGGTACAAGTGATTACTCAACACATTTTGCAACACAATACTGCCTTGAAAAACATTTCTGAACAGATATAGGTAGCTCATTGTTTTTACACTGATCCCAGTGTAACCACTGGAAGATATTTTTTGTCATTTTGTAATGTAGCAACAAGTTATCTCTAAGAAATATTGAAGTGTTTCCTTGGGTTGATTTTTCTCCATACAGTAGCTACATACCTGTGCAACTGTTCATCTTTGTTGGCCTTTAGGCTGATATTTGGCCACTAAAGCAGGAGAGAGAGAGAGAGAGATGAGATGAGACTTCTATACTTATTTATTTTATTTCAATTCAAATCCTCAAATGCTGCTTAGGCATTTCATAACTTACCTTAAGTATGGTCCCTATCAGATTCCAGTTCCACTCAAGATTCTCTTTGTGGTTAAGAACTTGACTATCTCTCAAATTTGTTAACAATGCTTCCTCCGTGTCCTTTGATGGCAGAAGAGAGAGGAAAAAGAGAACGGTTTTTCTTGCAGTATTGTCTCCACACTGTTACAAATTATTAAAAGATGCATGCTCAGTTTTGAATGGCACTAGAGATTGGTACAAATAGCCGGTTCGTCAGTTTGTGCCCATCTGGACGATGGCTAAACAAGTGTTCTGCAGTTTGGCATCCCACCCTCTCTGGGGGGGGGGCGCCCACTCAGAGGCAACGCCTGGAGGCAGAGCAGTGAAACAGGGGCTCTGCATCTGAGTGGGCATTTGTCGAATTGTGGAACACCTGTTCAGCCATCATCTGAACTGGCACAAATCGCCGAACTGGCACCCATCTCTAGCTGGCAACTATGAAAACATCCAGTTTACATATGAACATCTTTAAACAAAATTGCAAGATGTGTCATGGATACTCCCTACCTCACCTAGAACAGTTTCAATTGAACCGAGAAATAAAAAAAAATTAATTAGGAAATTCAAGCTTAAACGGTAGAAGCAAATATTGTTTAAATTACAAAAAGCATGACAAGTAGCAATTCTAGACATTGCAGAGAAAAATCCTACCTTCAAGATAAAGATATCTTTCTGCACTCGATATTGATCCCTTCGCTGATGTGTTGACATGGCTTTCTGAACAATATGATCTAGGTGAAGACTATAAGGTTTAGGTCCTCGTTTTTTCATTTCATGGAAGCGTTTTAAGCAATTCAGTGCTGCACTAGCTCGTCTACCGGGGCAGAAATCATGTAGTTAAAATGTTATCAGATGAAATGTCTTCTATAATATTACATTTTGTGAGGGTCTGGTAGCCTTAGAATATGTATAACCCGAGAAATGGTATGCTAAGAAATATGAATATAGCCATCTTGGGTCCTTTCAAGGAGAAAGGTGGGGTAAAAATATTTTAAACAAACAAACAAACAAACAAAGCTAGACTTTATACTGGGGCAGGCAATATCTGGAGATGAGCCTCACACCTCCACTATTTCGTACAGAATGACAAAAAAAATATTGACATCTAAATAACAATAACTCCATCCAATGTTCCAGCAAAAATCAATGTGAAAAAAATTGAGATCTTGAAAATATTGTTACTGTTTTTCCCTTTTATAGCAAGAAAAGAAACCAAAAAATCTTCCTGAACCAATGTTGTCGGCACAATCACTTATTAGATGGATGGTAACACACCAAATACGTAAAACCAAATGGTGTGCAAGTACACAACAACTGTAATCTTATTTGCTGAGGTGCAACATAACGTTATGCTTGCGTAACTATGTCAGGCATTCCACCTCCATCAGTAAGTATCACATTAAGTCAACTGCACAATTAGTTACCCTATTCCTGTTTTGACTGACTGAGCAATGTACTTTGTAAATAGTGACAGCAGATGTACTTTGTAAATAGTACATTACATCTTAACATGACTGCCAAGGTGTAATGTGGCAAAATGTCAAATTATGCACTCTGGCAATTCACTCCAGCAGTTATGTCACTTGCTGGAAAAAGGAGCAAACCAGGAGTGAACCAGTCTGTCTGATCAAACCCCTACTGTCATGGAAAAAGCCCTTAGTATCTATTATGACCACTGAAATCATAGCCACACATTCATCAAAACTGTCACCACTGCCTTGAAGGCAAGAACCCTTACAATGATGTGAGGTTGAAGACAGGCCCAATGACAATAAGGTCTTAAAAATTCTGGCTGCTTTGAGCAATAGGAAGGAAGGAAGGATATTTATAGTCCAACCTCCCACTACAAAGTAGCACTATTTGGGGACAAGTCTTAAGGTTATGTGAAGATTTACTATGGTGTTGCTATTCCACTGTTTTAATCCCATCTTCTAAGCTACAATGGCATTTGAAACCCTTTGTATGAATTTGGCAATAGATTACTTGGTATGAACAATACGTGAAGGAAAATTCTAGGTTCATTCATTCTGTGTGAAGATACTGTAGGAGAGCACTGATTTTCAAAAATGAAAGGTAAGTTTTACATTCCTATGTCCCCATCTTTTCCACTAGTTTCTGCAATTTCATTCTGAGAGCCTTTTGAACATGATGTTTTTAAAAAATATTTACACTATGCTGTTCTCTTCTCTGTACACTTGGGACATGGGCTGTATTCGCTATATCATCCATTTCTATGAGTAAAATACTTGGAAGAGATACCATGACGCAGTTACACTGTGTAGATATACCGTATTTTTCGCACCATAAGACGCACTTTTCCCCCACAAAACAGGGGGATGGAAAGTCTGTGCGTCTTATGGAGCGAAAAATACGGTACTTAAATAGTTCCTTAAGGCATATTACAAAAAAACCCAAAACAAACAAAAACACCCTATGCTTACAGTCTCTTCTCCTTTACAATGTCAAAAGACGCTGCCATATTCATTAAAGTTGGTAAGCAGTGTAGATGATGGCTATGGCAATGTGGAAGGATGGTATTTGCCTGAAAAGGAGGAGACATTTCATAGATTTTGAAACAGAAGCTACATCCACAAGCATACAATTCAGCTAATATAAAATATTATTTAAAGTATTAGATCTGAAAACTGTCTTTATAATGACAGTCCTCTGGAAAAAAAATACTCCTTAAACTATCTAAATTAAAAGACTTAACATGGATTTTATAGTGTAGATTTTATAGTTGGTCAGCTAATGGTAGGGATCTAATAGAAATGCTGATGAGCAACTGGCTGCCACCTTGTTATTCTAGCAGAGGAAGCTCTTGCACCTGTATGAGACCCTTGACATGATTTTCAAAGATCATCATAAGCATACTGAAGACAAGCACAGGTTTTTCAGCTGAACCTCTGAACTTCCACAGCTGAAGCAAGTCAAACCAGAATGAGGACCCCTCATGTTGCACAGCAAGGTCTGGCATTGTGACAGCAAAAAAGGACTTGAAATCGCCTTTTCTAAACTGTTGCCTGTTCACTAATGCAAGAACTATGGATACCAGGCTAATTCGTCCTCCTCTAAGGTAAAAATGTTCCCATATTTTTTTTCTACCTATATTCTGAGATAAACCTTCAAGGTAAACAACCTTAAAGGTAAATAATAATGAATCAGTAAAGTGAAATGAAGTCTTCCTTACCATGTGCAAAAGTTCTCCAAGTAAGATTGTTGCTCTGACAGAAACAGGGTCATCACTACTTGTGATTACCTCAACTAGACCCTGAAGTAATTAAAAAGAAAAATTATATTGTAGTAATGCTGCTGTTATTACAATAAAGCAAGGTTAACTGTTCACAATTTATATCAAAAACTGAACTTACTTCTAGGAGGCCGTTTCTAATGAAAGCAGAGAGAACCAAGGCCAAGTAATTGTCCATGAGGTCAGGCCTGGATAACGGGCAACAAGAAAATCAGCTTCAACCTTTTAGGCTCTCTTTTTCAAATTATAAATATGAGGATGGGATGGCATTAGTCTTTGGGAAATAAATCAATACCTGGATCTGGCTCGGTGAGGTAATATAACTTTAGCTTCTGTGGCTACAAAGCCATCAGAAAGTCTCCAGCTGTCTTGAAACCGACTAGGATCTACAGAAAGAAAATAATTTTTAAAAAATCCAAGTTTGAATTCCTAAGAGCAAGAAACTATATCTGTACAGTGAGTGATAAGTAATGAAATCTGTTCAAATGAAATATGACAAGAGGATATTTCATTTGAATGGCTTTTATTACTCATGATTCACTGTCTTCTGTCTGATCCTTTCTTGCACTAAGAGTTACAAGTACAGTAGGACAGCTGTATTGGCAGGATCAGTTATTTGCTGCTTGAAAATACTTTAAAAACCTCAGAAATACACATTCGCAAGGTATATTACTAGAACTGCCCACTAGAGGGAACCAGATATAGAGATATTAAAACATGTATAAATCATCGGAATGTGACAAACCCAGCAGGATTGTATGTATAGTAGGACCATGGTATCTGTGAGGGATCGGCTGTAAGCTCCCCCTGCCCACAAATGCCGTTAACCACAAATATATACAAACCCTATATATAACATACTTTGTATATATTTGCGGTTTACGGCATTTGTGGGCAGGGGGAGCTTACAACCAATCCCTCACAGATACCATGGTCCTACTATACATACAATCCTGCTGGGTTTGTCACATTCCGATGATTTATACATGTTTTAATATCTCTATGATTACCATACAAACAGAAGTCCTGTTACTGCTGAGTAACCTTTTGAAACTGCTGGCAGTTTATGCATCCATGATACCTTTAAATGTCACTTCATCTATCAGTAATGCAATTGTTCAGATACAAAGCACAATACATACAATGTAGGAATCAAGAACAAAATGGGAAAACATAGGCCAAAATATTGTTCACTGAAAGTCACACAGCACTGGATGATGTCATCATCTGGTGCTAGTAATATTAATGTAAAGTAATTAAAATCTTCTATCCCTCCTCTTTCGGGTTCTGAGGCTCCCTGGGTTTCCCTTTTATATTAATGTAAAGTAATTAAAATCTTCTATTCCTCCTCTTTCGGGTTCTGAGGCTCCCTAGGTTTCCCTTTTGTCCTGGGAAAGCCTTTGGGAGCCTTGCAACAGGAGCAGGGAGCCTTTAGTAACCAAAAGGGCACCCGTGGTCTTGATTCTGTTGGTGGTGATCCAGCAGCAATGTTTTTACTATTAAAGGTCCCCCCCCCCATCTCAAGGCTCCCACTGGCTTCCTGAGGGCAAAAAGGAGGCCTAGAGAGCCTCAAAGCTTGAAGGGAGTGGGATAGAATGCTTTTAATTAGTTTAAATTACATATTACTGGCACCGGATGATCATATTATATGGTTTGTACTATGTAACCTTGCACAACACAATTCTGCCCATTGTTGCACCGTATACACGCTACTAAACAAACTGAAGAACAAGCAGTGGTTACTGAGACTATGCAGAAAAATATGCTAAAAGGAAAGCAGATTATGTTTGAATCCTGCTTAGCTATAATATAATTTCGGGGAGAAAATCTGGAATACACACCTGCATTTCTGATAAATGGCAATCAAGAACATTTAGAGAAGAGAAGGAAGGACAGAAGGAAGGAAGGAAGGAGCCAGAGGAATTTTGGTAATGAACTGGAAAGAAACAGCCTAGCAGGCATATGGATTTTATGAACTGTATTAATTATTCAAGATCATTATAAAGAATTTCGTCATAGAAAGAACAGTCTGAGGAGGAAGGAAAATTTACAGGAAGAGAAAAATGGTTAAAAAAATCTAGAAACCTTTTCAGATTAAAATTTCAAAGTTTTTAATGTCAATATTTCTCAAAAGTGTCATAATACTTGTATGAAACAGCTATAGAGATAAAAAAATAAATCATTTCTGAAAGTACAAATATTCTTAAAAGTTTAAGATCAGTACAGCATGGTTAGCATGAATAGAAAATGAAATAATAGTTGTGTCCTATCAAGCCAATGCTGACATATGGTGACCCTGTATGTCAGCAGACTACATCCAGGTAGACTATACTGTACTCAGAGGTGGTTTACTATTCCCTTCTTCTGGGAGCATCCTGAGACTGTGCAGCTTTCCCATGACCACAGGAGAGGTCCCAGGAAGCACAGTGGGAAATTGAAATCCCAACGCCTGGCTCCTCAGCCAGATATCTAACTCACTGAGCTATCCGGCAAGTCAAAAGATGAAAAACAGTTTTCAAAACTGAAACATGTTTTTAATGCATTAGGAAGAGGGGGACGGAGATGGATGCAACGAACAGAGCTTAGAAGTAGCCATCTTCAGAGAATTCTCTATGCACTACATATGAGTGCCGTAGAATAATGGGGCAAGGGTGAGGAACAGTTTTAAAATTCTTTACGAAATAGCTTCCAATTGGTAGAACTTTCCTGTTAGATGTTCATGCTTAAGGCCCATCATATTCTGCAGGGCTACTGAAGTGAATATAGTTATTCCAATTACAAAAAAGGAACATTCTGCAGAGACCTACCTCTAAGTTCAATACTAACCTACACTGAGAAGAGCTTCTATAAATTCTTCAGTCACAATAGGAAGAGGAAGACGAAATATGTCATAAAGTACTTCAAGCAGTCCTCGCTATAAACATAAGAGGAATGGAATTACAAAGAAAGAAACTTACAAACTTTAAAATCTATACTGAAACTATTATGTCAAATACGTAACATTTAGGAAGATGCAGATATGGGGTACATTTTTACAATTGCTTACCTTCCTTTAGAATTCTCAAATCCCTAGAAATACTGTACTTTTTTGAAAATATTAAAGGAGTAACTATACAAGTAATAACAACAAAGAGCCTTGTCATATCTGATGAAGTTGCCTGCAGTCTATGACAGTGGATGCCAAATAACATTTTTTTAGGTTTTTGATGTTGCAAGACTCTTTTTTGTTTTCTAAAATATGTTTATGGCAATCATAATGTGCATGGAAGTGTTAATAAACAGTAGGACTTAAAATCTGCTTAAGGTTTCCTGAAAGAAATAAAAACATGAATGTATTATGCAAGTCAGGTGCCATGCCCATGCAGGAAGAATTAACACTGTGCTCAATACACACACTTCTCTTTTGGCTAATGCACATACTAAACCCAACAGACCATCGCAGACATATAAATCTGCGAGTTATATGAGCTACAACTTCAAATAACCTGCACCAGACTGAGAAGGAGCACCAAGTGTAGTCAGCATATGCACGCTAACGGGAAGACTGGAAACGAGGCTCCACAGAATGTTAGCAACAGGATTCTGTATGTAGGCATAATGCCCAGACCAGAAGTGAATGTATTAAAATTTCTTAATTCCCCCCCTGCATAAATTAAAACCACAGCTGATTTATAATCACTTATCATTTAGTGCACTTAGGATACTACTGAGTATATAGTCCAAAAAATAATCACATCTGGGCCACACTTGGTACTGTGTCTTCTCACACACACACACACACACAGAGAGAGAGAGAGAGAGAGTTAAACAATACAGATGTAAAGAATACCATATACATATACTGTATCTGCACTACCCATGAAGAAGCACAGAAACCTCATTATTTTTCTCATACAAAACCGACACATACCCGGACTTCCATATTAGGTATACAAAGCACTCCAATAAGAGACTGGATCCCAGAGTTCCCAGGCTTGCATAAACTAATAATGCCTGAAATAAAATGAAATAAATTATATAATGTCAATATGATAAATGGAATCTATGCATATAATCCAATGACAAGATATTAATACTTTTGAGACTTTGCCTTTACCTTTACACACATATTATAGAAATGAGAAATTCAGCAATAGATAATTAAATGCATACACATTATCTCAAAGTATCTAGCATAAAATTTATAAAACGTATATGTCCATGAGAAAAATGTGTTTTTATATAAACTATACAAGGAAATAACTCAATGCAAATGATACTATCTGTCCAGAAGTAAAAAATGTAACACCAAAATAATTTCCACTATAGAAACTGCAAAGTCCTGACTAGAGATGGGAACAGATGAAGAACCACCCAGCCTAGAATCTTGTTTCCAACCTGTTTTTAGAGTATATTTTACAGCTCCTTGGTCATTTATTATAAAGATTTTCTTGGACTTTGAAAACGTGCCTCAGGAAGGCTTCAAAACTAATAGAGGACTACAATGGGTTTCTCTTCTTTTCTCCCTTTTTCCTTTTTCAATGGCAAGCACCTGCCAATTTCAGTTTATCACAAGTTGCTGCACTAGGTTTAAGGGTCAATGTTCTGAGCTGTGTGCATGTGTGCACACACTTTCCCAGAGCTCTGTTGGGATTGTGCATGGGCTGCCAGCAACCGGTTTGTTTATTTCCCATTTTGAATGAAATCCTGCCCATCCCAACGCACATGGAGCAAGGCTCCAGCATAGTGGGACAGAAACTTAGACAAAACTTCACGAATCTTAAACTCAAAACCAGGATACCTAAGAGATTGCCTGACTGGCCTGTTTGAATACTCCTAGTACGTGAAATATCAGAGGTTAAGTCTGTTATGGCACAGAATAATTTTTATGTCCCAATGCATATCCAGATTTTGTGAAGTTTTTTTTGGAGCTAAATTCAAAGTTTTATAGCAGAGTTGTGGTGAAGCCCCTCTTCTAAACAGAGAAAAGGTATTGGGGAAGGTATACTCTGATTCATATTCTGAGCGTGTGTAGAGGAGATCTTTTATTTTGTTTATGTGATTATTTCTCTTGCACACTGCCAATCTCAGAGCTTTTCCCGCAGAGGCAGGGACAAGCTCTTATAATACTAAGAGCCAGGGAAAAAAAATAAAGTTTCAGTTTGGACTAGTCTCTTTATAAAATATTTGCACTTTTTTCATTGGACTAAAAAAAAAAAAAGAAAACTTCAACTGGGCCATGTCTCTCTCTTTTAAATTCCCCAGATAATGCCACTATTCCATTTATTAACTTGTGTCAATGTTGCAAGAAAAGTCTTACCTGCCCATGAGCGAAATGCTGCCACAATTCCCATTTTACTAGCGGAGAGCCGTGCTTCTCGGTCCTCTCTGTTTAGACAATGATGTTGTAAGTCCAGAACACAGTAAATACATTAAATCTCTGCTATTATGATGGGATCAATGGTGACTGTACTTACTTGAGCTGTCCTTCTGCAGTGTCTGGATTGTGCCTGTAGTGAAAGTCTGTGTATGGAGCTAAAATCCGCTACAGAAAAGATTGGAGTCATTTCTAGAATCATTATTCCATCTTAATTATTATACACATGGCAAGATTTTGACATATTGTCTAGTCCTACTAGATGTCTGCATTTTGCCTCTCTGCCATGTTTGTGTAACAAGAGGACTAGTATAAAACAGATATTCTAAGATTTATTGTGAGATCAATTTAAGCAGCTCAAAAACATAAATACAGACAATAGCAGAATGTGCTCAGATCTAAAAAATGATCCTGGCCAATTATACTATCCTATGTTTTCCGTAAATTTAACTAATCACCTAGCTGTATAGTCTTTGTAACACATGTTGAACAAAAGAATAATCACAGAATGATTAGAGCAAATTTTGCAAGTCTGCTTGTGAGCAATTAGAGAACTGGCAAACCTGTAGCTAGCTGCCACTTTGAACTTACTTATTATATTGTACTTTTGTTACTATAGTACTTTTGACAGAAAAGCAACAGATAGGTAACATAATTCATTTTCTCATCACTGGAATATTCACTTTAACTTTTGTGTTACGATTTAAAGTATTTTTTCTTCTTTTTAAATGAACATTTTGCACCCTGATTTCACCTGCACCAAAACAACTAAATGTTTATAAGTAGAGGATTCATATTTCTATATGCAGATAGGTGTAACATTTTAAGGTGAATGAGATGGAACTTGTTACTGAGTCACAACAAATCTTGTCATGTTGTTATGCCAGCACAGGGGGGCTGATGTCATTGACAGATTGTTGCTTACTAAGGCACTCCAATTTTGGGTTGTACCCAAAGGGACACTCACAACCCAGAATCAAGATCATTTCATCTATGCTGGCATAAGTATGTAAGAGGATATTTGGCTACTAGTTTCAAAATACTCATATGAATAAGTATTTCTTTTCCTATTAATATTTGTATTACTGTGCATATTGAGCACCTAAATACAGTGGTGCCTCGCTTTACGATTGCCCCACATTACGACAAATCTGCTTAATTACGATCTTTTTGCGATCGCAATTGCAAAACGATGGTCTAAATGGGGGAATTTCGCTTTGCGATGATTGGTTCCCTGCTTCAGGAACCGATTCTTTGCAAAACGACGTTTTTCTAACAGCTGATCGGCGGTTTCAAAATGGCCACCAGGTAATTAAAATGGCTCCCCGCTGTGTTTAGGGACAGATTCCTCGCTATACAGGCAGTGAAAATGACTGCCGTATGGAGGATCTTCGCTGGACAGTGAGTTTTTACCTCACTAGAATGCATTGAACGGGTTTCAATGCGTTTCAATGGGGGTTTTTTATTTCGCTTTATGATGTTTTCGCTTAACAGCGATTTTCCCGGAACAGATTATCATTGTTAAGCGAGGCACCATTGTATAAAAATAAGCATTTCAGATATTTACTCACCAACTGGTCATAAAATGTTAATTACATAATACGAGGTAATTAACGAGGTAATATATGATATCTCAGAGCAGCCAAATACATACAAGTATCTTCTGGGTTCAACATTGATAAATACAGGTAGAATATGAGTGGACACAAAAATGAAGCCCCTACCTCTAATTCTACATCTGCTCTCACATACTGTCGAGTCTTTGGATGATTGAGAAGATGTAAGACTGTTGTTATGAGGGCTTCATTTATACGGCTTAACTGACAATCGATCACATTTTTCAAAATGGTACTTAGCCCACCCCGAAGAGCAACTATTTCTGGATTCTGAATTGCTGAAAAAGGAAAAAAAATTCAATTAAATGATCTAGTTAATGAAAATATTTAACACCATAGGCTCCAGAAAAACTGAAATCTAGTTTGCACTTATTATGTTAGATTTTGTTTATGTGTTTTTTAAAAACACTAATGGTTTCACTTAAAACCCTTCCTTTTTCATGTGGAAACAAATCTTATAAATATATATAGTAAGAAACTCATTGTATATGGTTAGTCAATTGACCAAAATGCGATTTGCGTGGCCCCCACGCTGGGCACCTTTAAAACCCAATTAAAAACATGGCTGTTTATTCAGGCCTTCCCTCCAGCCAACTCTTGATTTTTTCTTACTTTTCCTTTTTATCTTTACTGCTGTTCTTGTTTGATTATTATGTATTTGTCTATGTTTTATTATTTGATTTTATATTTGGAAGCCGCCTAGAGTGGTCCGGTGGGCCAGATAGGCGGGGTATAAATTAAATAAATAAATAAATAAATAAATATTATAACAGGCACTTCCGTGGCATAAGAGGTGTGATGTTTAGCTACCTGAGCAACAAGGTATCCAGTGGCTCACCACATATACAGAAGTCCCATATGGCCAAATGACAAGTAATGTCATTTAATCAATTAGCACACCGGCAAGGCTAAATACTCCATCAGTATTTAATAACATCCCAAACTAATTTTTTTTCATGTTTGTTTCAAGGAATAGCAGAACCCTATGAGTGTTTAGCCGGAGGTAAGATCTGCTAGACAAAATTTTCTTCTGAAGCTTTTTTTTTTTACTAAAGGAATGATATCAGTAACAGTAATAGATTGCTGCTGATTAAAAACTTCTTTCTTTAGTTTTGAGCTGCACATCACTTGAACACAGTCAGATTAAGTTGTGCGCACACTGAAATTGGAAAAAAAATTTTAATCAGCAGTGATCTGCTTCTAACGATAATATTATTCTCACTGAGCATGCAGAACCTGTCCAACACGATTTTGACCACTGTGTTCAGCAATGTTTACTTCCACATAATGTGTATTTGACTACTTAAAGCTGTACATGCATGTTGTTAAGCGATTTTATTGAGAACTGTGGCTCCTAATATAAGCTGTGAATTGACATTTGACTATAGTCAGTATGGTTGCTCTATCTGGCCTACATTGCTTTGGCATCACACTGAGCACTATTTGAAGTGGGAACACTGTATCATGTGTTAAGTGCCTTCATGTCTTCTTGTAGGCTTCCAACAGGTAACTGAGTGATCACAATGTTCAACTAGATCAGCTTGTTGTCTGCTCCAGGCAGCTCTCCTTACACTCTCACAAAGGTCAACAAAATGGATTGGCATAGGTCTATTATAAACCAAGTGTGTATCTGCTCAGCTGCTGGAGTATACATAACACAGTCATCAGACAACAAAATTGGACCTGCTTTCTCTGGAATTAGCAGAAGAGGGACAAACACAAAACACAAATAGGTTTCATAAATGAAAATAATTCTGCTTTTGTGTTGATTTGGTATTTCAGATTTCCTATACAGTGGTGCCTAGCTTAACGGGCGCCCCATTTAATGACGAATCCGCATAGCCGGCTTGAGCGCTTGGGAAGGAGCTCGGGGGAGCCCTCCCCCGCGCTCCTTCCGAAGCGACTGCCAGTCAGCTGGCCGAAATAGCCAGCGGGCGCTTGGGAAGGAGTGCGGGGGAGCCCTCCCCTGCGCTCCTTCCAAAGCAACCGCCAGTCAGCTGGGCGAAAATGCCGGCATGGGGTTTTGGGAGGACCGCGGGGGAACCCTTCCCCGCGGTCCTCCCAAAGGCCCCATTTTCGCACAGCTGATTGGCGGTTTCAAAATGGCTGCCGACACCGATTCATCACTTACCAAGGCGGCGAAAATGGCGGCCCTATGGAGGATTCCCGCTTAGCGGTGAGTTTACCCCCCATAGGAACGCATTAAACGTGTTTTAATGCGTTCCTATGGGTTTTTTGCCCCGCATAGCGAGGAATCCGGATAGTGACATCACTATGCGGGGCACCACTGTATTACTCTTTCACTCAAGAGAATGCTTATTCATTTTTCACAAGGATCCATGTCATACAATTATACTTAAGCATTAGGTTATTGAGTAAATCCCTGAAGAATTCTTCAATTGTGACAAACTAACATTAAGTGCTTAAGTGTATTACTTGTTTCAAAAAATTCTTACCCAGTTCACAGATAATAGCAATACATGCTCGAACCATCCTGTCCCTCTCCTGAAGGCCGTCATTTCCAACAGCTATCAAGGAGTTGGTAACAGAACTAGGAAATAATGAAGCATTCACAGTGATCATCTAAAAGCAAACAAAATTTTTTGAAAAGAGTGGTTACGTTTGTCCAGAAAAGAGGAATGCATGTTCTTTATCCACATTAAAATTATGGAAAAGCACTAAAGGTTCATTATCTGTTTAACACCCCCCCCCCACACACACCCCACTACCAGCTCTTGAATATTTTGGTTCAACACTGTGCTATTCTAGGTACACATAACTATTTTATTTGCTAAAACAGATATATAGGTTTGCATTAGAGGCCAAGGGTCCAATTTCCCTTTGTGCTTTCTGGGGAAAGAGCCAGCTTATGTACTATGCACATTCCTAGAGCAGTACCAGAAAAAAGTGAATGGTAAAACCACTTCTTTGTACTTGGGAAGCCCTGGCAAGGGTTACCATAAGTCAGAATCAGCTAGACAGCACCTTCTTTTTCTTGTTGCAGCACATAAAAGGGAGAAGATATCATAAGAAAAAAAAGAAGTAATAGATCATGCAGATCACCTTCACAAAAGTCTTCAATCTCTTCAGAGAAACTGGTATGCAGTAAATTTGCATTTGCAAACTGTATGTCCATCAGAAACAGAACAGACTCTATGGAATTGCTTACAATGAGTAAACTGCATGATAACACTGGGGGCAGTAGACAACATTCACATTCAGAACATACCGTATTTTTTGCTCCATAAGACACACTTTTTCTCTCCAAAAAGGTGGGAGGGAAAGTACATGCATCTTATGGAGTGAATGCAATAACCCAGGGTTCAGCCACCACCACCCAAAAGCTTCCCACTGCCATGCCAGGAGGCCTCTGAACTGGAAGCAGAGACTGCTTGCTGCTCAGACCTCAGCATTCTGCACTGCTGGCTTTCCAAGATCTGCTCCTTGCAGCTCAACTGGAAAACCAGCAAGGCCTATGGCAGCAAGCAATGCAAACAGCCAATGACCAAAAGGGAAGGAGTGATTCTATAAAAACCAGGGGAAACCAGAAACACAGTCCACCATTTAGGCAGTTGATTTTCCCACATTTGGGGAAATCACAGGGGTCAGCTCATCTGAAGTGCAATAGATGAGCCTTACCCTAAAACCACTCTTACAAGAATGGTATCTTCCCTGCCAGGTCTGAGTTTGAATGGCCCCTAAGCCTCCTGGCCCTTTGTGTGCCCTGCCCTCAAAAGGCATGGTGACCGCCTGGCTGCACCTCCTGATCAGAACAGGGTTGCACAGCCTGGGAAGCGGCTGATCAGCTGTTAGGTGGGGAAAGGGCAGGAAAGGAGAAGAGCACAAAATGGCTGCCGTCTGCAGGCTGCCTGCTGGCATTTAGCTGTTTGGGGCTCTTTTTTGGCTGTTCTGGGGTCTACCAAGGCACTGTGAAGAGCCAGGCTCAGTCTACAGTACCTGGTAAGT